TCATTTTGTTTATCCAGTCTTCAATTTGTGGAGAGCTTTTTTCTTTCCATTTTTGTGCAATTGTGCAATTGTTGTTCTTGCTGCGGCTGTTATGTAACAGAAGATCCTCTCTTCATTTTCGGTTAAGTTCAGTTCTATTATATTTAGAAGGTAAAACTCTGGTTTCATTTCGAATTTCACACTGATGATTTTTTGGGTATATTTATGTATTGTTGACCAATATTTCTTAATTATTTTGCACCCCCACCACATATGGAAGTGGGTGCCTAGCTCCTTTTCACATCTCCAACATCTATTGCTGTAATTTTTGTTGAACTTAGATAGGCGTGAGGGTGTCCAGTACCATCTAAAGTAAATCTTATACCAACCCTCAACTATATTTGATGCTTTTGTGAATTTTAGTTTCTTTTTCCACACAGTTTCCCAGTCCTTCAATAATATTGAGTGGCCTATGTCGAAAGCCCACTTTTCTTTCACTCTATCCTTTTCCAAGTCCCACTCCAGCAGAGTTTGATAGAGCAGTTTTATTAATTTCTGATCTCTCTTCATTACTCTGTCCCACTTTGATTCCTTGGATGCGAAGCCCACTTTTCGATCTTCTTTAAAACATTCCTTAGTTTGCCAATAGTGGAACCAACTCATCTTACTATCAAAATCCCTTATTTCTTCTAGTGGTTTCAGTTCCCAGATGTTATTGCTTTTTTTTAGTAGTTTGGAATAGGGGTGCCAGTTCTCACACAGGATTTCTTTCCTATGAAACGCCTCGGCAGGTGATACCCACATAGGTGTTTTATCATAAAAGAAGGTTCTATATTTATCCCATACCTTCAATAAGGGTCCTCTAATATAGTGGTTTCTGAAATTGCTCTCAACTTTGGCCTTGCCATACCAGATGTAGGCGTGCCATCCTCTTCTGAGGTCCCACCCCTCTAAGGTCAACATCCTTTCATTCTGTAAGGTTGCCCAATCCTTGATCCATGACAATGCGCACGCCTCAAAGTAAAGTTGTAAATTGGGTAGTGCCAGGCCTCCCCTATCTTTGGTGTCTGTCAGTATTTTGAATTTTATTCTCGGTTTTCTGCTGTTCCAAATAAATTTTGTTAGGTCTTTATTCCAATTGTTAAATTGTTTCCCTGATCTTAAAATGGGGATTGTTTGGAACATAAATATCATTTTTGGCAGAATGGACATTTTAATGACAGCAATTCTACCCAAGAGGGAAAGCTTGAGATGATTCTGGTTGTCTAATTTTCTCTTAATATTCTTCCAAGCATTGTCGTAGTTATCTTTCACTAGGTGTGAATTAGTGTTAGAAATGATTATCCCCAAGTATTTAAATTTTTTAACAATCTCATACATTGTTGTCTGCTGTAATTTGGCAATTCTGTCTTTAGAGATGTTTTTTGTTAGTATTTTAGTTTTGTCCTTATTGATCTTAAAGCCTGCTAGTGCCCCGAATCTCTCCACTTTCTGAGTCCATTTATGAATGGACTCCAAGGGTCTCTCTATAATGCAGACAACATCATCCGCGTATGCTCTTATTTTAAATTCCTCTGTTCTTATCTTGGTTCCAATTAATTCTTTATCTTTTCTGATGTTATCCAATAACAGTTCCAGAGACAGTCTTCCTTTATTCTTTCCCCTAATAGATTTTTCAACCTCTCTGCTAAAATGCTAGTGAAGATCTTATTATAATCACAGTTCAGCAGTGATATGGGGCGAAAGTTCCTCATGTTGTTCAAGTTAGAATTTTCTTTTGGAATTAGTGTAATATTAGCCTCTTGCCAGGATCTTGGGGTCTCTCCTCCGCTTAAGATCTTATTTATTAACTCTTGTAGATGTGGCGAGAGTTCTTCCTTAAATGTCTTATAATAGCCTGACGTGAAGCCGTCAGGCCCAGGTGCTTTATTTAGTTGTGTTCTGTCTATTGCTCTCTTTACTTCTTCTATGGAGACTGGTTTATTAAGATTTTCTCGCTGTGAGTCACTGATCTTCTTCAGCTTTTGTTCCGATATGTAAGTTATTATATCCTCCATCTTAATTCGATCTTTTCTGTATAATACCTTATAAAAATTCCTAAATTGGTTAGCTATGTCCTTTATTTGTGTATAACATTTCCCTTCCTCTATGATTTGTGAGATGAATCGTTTTTGGGATCTTTTCTGTAGGAGTCTCGCTAAAGGTTTCCCTATTTTATTGGCATGCGTGAAGTAGTTCAGTTTAGCAAATCTTATTTTTCTGACGATCTGTTCGGCTATCGTGTCATTAAATTTTTTCTTCAGGGCATTTAGTTCCATTATGATCTTTGTCTCTTTTGGATGAAGTTTAAGCATTCTTTCTTTAGCACTTATTTCTTCTTCCAGTTTTTCCTGTATCTCCTGTCTTTTCTTATTCCTTATGGACCCCTGTTGAATAAAGTGTCCTCTTAGGACCACTTTACTAGCGAAGAAGACACATTCTTCAACTTACACGATGTATAAGTTATGTTGTAACTTATATGTGGGAGTTTTGACATGATTATTTGTTGTGTTGTTGTTTTCAAATACCATTTCAAAAATGAATCTATGTTCTGAGAACAGTTCACTTCCACTGGTTCTTGCATCATATGCCTGCATTCCGGAAGGGGATGTGGTTTGTCAGGCAGTATAAGTACACTGATGTTGCAGAGTTCACAGAGTATTCTTGATTTTGGGAAACTAAACTTCATCCTGGTGATAGGACCACTATAAATGTATAGGCTGCTGGTGGTTACAAAATTTTCAGCATGGTCTTTACTCAGCATTATCTTTCTTGGTTTGTATTTGCAAGCAGAAGGGTTGGCATGGTTCAGGTATTGTTCAGATTCCTTCCAACTAATGCAATTGTCTTTCTAGGGTGGTGGTTGGCCAGGCAAGGATGCATGGTGCGAGGTGAGTATCAACAGCTAATCAAAACATTCATTTTTCAGGTGGTAGGGTAGATTTTTTTTTGGTCGTGTCAGGTCAACCAGTCAATTATATTATATTTCTAACAGAACAAAGCAAACAAACAGACAAAATAGAAAATTTGCAAGTTTGGTAGTTGATTAAATGTCCTTTGACCAGTATCTGGCCACTTGGAGTGCCTCTGGTGTTGCTGCAAGAAGGTCCTCCATTGTGCATGTGGCAGGGCTCAGGGTGCATTGCAGCAGGTGGTCAGTGGTTTGCTCTTCTCCACACTCGCATGTCGTGGATTCCACTTTGTAGCCCCATTTCTTGAGGTTGGCTCTGCATCTTGTGGTGCCAGAGCGCAGTCTGTTCAGCGCCTTCCAAGTCGCCCAGTCTTCTGTGTGCCCAGGGGGGAGTCTCTCATCTGGTATCAGTCATTGGTTGAGGTTCTGGTTTTGAGTCAGCCAGAAACAGGGATTAAATGCCATGATCCTTTTTGACATTTTAAAGATATAGTTACTTTAGTCTGTCTTCATATACAAAGGAATCTTGCAGCAGTTTTAAAAGTAATTGGGGGAAACATGTTTGTAGCAGACTCATGCAACTTCATATAACTGAGTGCCTCTGATGCTACATACTTCTTTAGCTGAATTAAGATACTACAAGTGGCTACAAATTGAGTTCAAATTATAAAATTAGTTTGCAATCAATTAAGTCGTGGGGAGAGAATGGGGGAAAGAATCTTACCCTTCTAAGCGAAATCTGGGAAAAGCAAACTGCTCCGGACTCTCTTTGCTTGTTTGTTCTTTTTCATTAAGAACGTTTGTCTGATTGACCATGCTCTGGCACATACTAATTTTCATGTGCAAAGTGTTCATAAGTGCCCTTATGTTACATCTATCTTTGAAACAGGACTTTATCAGACACAGTTTTATCTGCGACTTCTCCTCGTTTCTGCCCATTGCTAAAATGGAGTCCCTTGGAGTCCATCATATGACGCAGGGTAACTGCCCCTAGATAATCTGTTTCCACATAATATGGCTGTGTGTAGATGGGGACTTCATTACTTATCGCTTCTCTAGTGCAAAACAATAATCATGCAAAACAAGCTTCTTTTTAAACCTTTTTTCTACTAAGTGAGAAAAAAAACACAAGCTGTAAATAAATATAGGGACAAAATTGGGGTAGGAATCAGGTAACTCACCAGATGTCATGTCATTGGTGTGTAGTTCAGAGCATTCAACATTGTTTGATATGCTGGCTAAGGATGCTGGGAGTTGTAATTCAATGGCCGCACATGAACATTTGGAAAGTTCAGCTTCTCCAAAGAGCTGTAAGCAGCACATTAAGTGTGGCTGGCTATGGGAAACACATGACGTCCTTGTTACACCATTCCTGGAGACTATAGTTTTCTTTCTGCCCACAACTGTGAGTTTTACCCTTAATGTCTTATATGGCTTATGCCCAGGCAACCTGAAACTCTTTTCTTCACACATAAGTTGATGGCAGATTTTTCTGTCAGTCCTGCTACTTTCACAGATATATTTGGTGGGAATGTGAACAGTGCCCATGAGTCTTCTAGTACCAATTTTTCAGCTGCTTCTACAATATCCCACATTCTCCTTTTATTGTTCACCTTTGTCCTCAGCTTACAGTTGCCACAAACTGAGTTCAAATATAAAAGTAAATTGCACTCAATTAACTGCTCAGTGGAAAAGGATGGGGTAGAGAATGTATCCTTCTTAGCCAACTCTGGAAAAACCAAACTGGTGCAGCTTCTCTTTGCTTCTTTGTTCTTCCTCATGAGGAACATTTGTGATCTTGACTGCAATCTGATGTTGCTTGGTGGCACAACCCAATTTTCATCTGTCGAATGTTAGGTGACATGTTGTTGCAACTTCTCTTGTTTCCAAACCTTTCTCCAATATCTCTTCTAATCCAGGACAAGATTATTCAGACCCTTCCATCTCAGTGAGCCCCAGTGCAGTGGTTGCTCTGGGAGGAAATGTCACCATCCGCTGTAAAAGCAAAATATACCAACAGAAGAAATTCGTTCTGGTCAAAGGACCTGAATCATGGGAAAAGGTGCTGGAGATGGAGAAACATGCAGAGAAATATGAGGTTACATTTTCTATTGCCAATGCCAGATACTTAGATGGGGGAAGCTACTGGTGTTTACTTGAAATCTTTCCTCAGGCACAGCAATATTGGAGTGTGGGAGCATACATCCAGATAAGAGGTAAGCCTTGCTCAGTATAAGTAAGTTTTCTCGTGTTACTGTGTCATTCCCAACTTCTAGCAATGCTAAGGAGATTCTGTTCTGGGGCTTTCTCAGTAAGAGATGTTCAGAGGATATTTAGTACAACTCTGTAATGTATTGTTATGTCTAAAGTTATCCAGGGACTCAGCCAAAAGCAAGACAAACCCCAGATTTCATTCACCCATTTGTGGGAATTTTGAGTTCTGTTTATTTTGCGCATCTTACTATAAACTGTAATTTGCAGGCTACTTCAATCCCTGCTAAACTCTGCATATTTCAATAGGAAAAAATGTTATACTTACCAACAATTTTATCTTGCACCTGCCTAGAAATATTGTTTCTAATTTTGGGGAGCAAATTTGCTTTGGAGAGTATGGAATAATTATCAGAATTAATAAACGAAAGAGCCCGTTGTCCCTGAATGGTCTCGTGAGAAACAAGTTAGCATACACAGCAAAGTCACTGTTTGGTTGGCTCTTCAGCAGTATCAATTTGAATGAAAATAGGTTGCCAAATAAAGGTTTAAATTATGTTGTTGTTGTTAATGCTGTTTGCCTTCAAGTTATTTCTGATTCATGGAGATCCTAAGATGAACCTATCATGGGTTTTCCTTCACAAAATCTTTTCTGTGCAGAGTTTGGCCTAGATGTCCTCTGGGGCTGAGAGACTGTGACTTGACCAAGGTCACCCAGCGGGCTGCCACTGCCAAATGGGGAACTGAAATATAGCACACTGGTTCCCTAAATAAATTTAGAAACATGGCATTGTAATTGCTCATTTGGCTCATATTTAACAGAAGAGTTTATTATACTTTATGTCAAATTCTTCCGAAGTAATCTACATACGTAAAACGTGTTTTTTCCTGGAAAATCTATTGGGCTGATAAGAAAATGGTATTAAATTTTAAAATGACTCTAAAATGCCCATTTTATAAAGTAACGAGAAAATGGTCCGGGACCTGCCTATCTTCATGACTCTACATCTTCCTTTATGAACCATCACAATCTCTAAGATCATCTGGGGAGGCTTTTCTTTCGCTCCCACCCGTCTCAGGCACGGTTGGTGGGGATGAGATAGAGGGCCTTCTCAGTGGTGGCCCCCGGGCTCTGGAACTCCTTCCTCAGGGAGATTAGGCTAGCACTTACTTTGTCTATCTTCCGCAAAGATTTTGTTCCACTGTGCTTTTGACTTGACAATTCCCCAGATAGCTTGGCCCCAACTAGGACCCAAAATTTTGTCATTGTGCTTTACTGTTGTTCTGCATTTGAATGTATACATGCTCAATTTCATACTGTCCTCTTTCTCTACTGCTGCCATATGACCTATGCACTTTATCCATCAGTCCTATCCTCACAATTGTTGTTTGTACCAGTCCGCCCACCTGTGCCCAGAAATTGATCATTATCGCAGAGCTCATTGGTTGCTGGTTTGATGTTGCTTATATATATATATATATATATTTGTTACAATGCTGTGTTTTATTCTGTGTTACATGGCCGTATTTTAATGTGCTATGTTTTCACCATAATAATAACAATAGTGCCCATTGTACCAGAAATCAATAAATGTTATTCCTACTCTGCTTTATGATTGAAATGTAACTTAATTATGCCATCACTCTAATAGTAACAAAAATAATTACAGTTAACATCAGAATTGTCCAACACTGAAATCTATAGAGCCTAAGAGAAGTTACGTGATCTATGAGTAACAAATCAAGTAAACTGTATTTGCATCATTAATTGCAATTTTCAAAGTCTGAGAATAGTCTTGGGGGTATTTATCTGTTGATCCAAATATGATTATGTGCACTTCTCCAGAGAATGCCTATACATGGCATAGTGTAGTGACATTCCCAAGGATACTCCACCCTTAAAATGTCATTTTTGTTTTTGTTTCAACTTCAGAACAAATTTATTCCAAGCCGTCCATAGCAGTGAGTCCCAAAGAACTGGTTCCACTGGGCAAAAATGTTGCTATCCATTGTAAGAATAAAGGCAACAGACTGGCTGAATATTCTCTCATTAAGGAAGGGGCTCTTAATATTATCCAATTTAAAAGAGTAGATAGGAATGGAGCTGTATTTACCATTGACAATGTTGATCAATCAAAAGTCGGGATCTACTGGTGTGACTACAGACCGTACCGTGATTATCGATACTCCCATTTCAGTGAGAGAGTGTACATCAACATAACAGGTAAGAAGGACATAATACCTACCCTTCTACATTTCACAGATGATCATCTATGACCAAGCAACATCTGGGTGGGATCAAGACAGCAAAAGTTAGAAATAAGGAAAAGCAGACAAGCTCAAAGAGATTGCAGCAGTTTGTTTTTAAACCTACTGCGAATGTCAAGTTTATGTCCCCTCCTCTTCCAGCACAAAATTGAGTTAATTGATAACCAATAACTTTTGCAATTGAACCAGTTTTGCAGCAATTGAAAAAGCTGAAGTGAAAAGTGGGAGGATGAGATAGAAACTAAAAAAGAGGGACAACAGGATTAATCAGAAGTGTCCATGCCAAATTGGGACAGTTGGGTTCCATATTGTTCTTCCATGCTGTTTCTACAATGACATACTCTACATTTTGAATTGTCATATCTTAATGCATAGTATGCATTCAATTTAATGTATGTCATATTTGAATATTATTGTTAATGTCCAGAAACAATGCTTTCTGGACTTTATATAAATGTATCTCTACCTGTATTGTCAAAGGCTTTCATGGCTGGAATCACTAGGTTCTTGTGGGTTTTTTCGGGCTATATGGCCATGTTCTAGAGGCATTTTCTCCTGACGTTTCGCCTGCATCTATGGCAAGAATCCTCATAGGTAGTGAGGTCTGTTGGAACTAGGAAAATTGGTTTATATATCTGTGGAATGACTGGGGTGGGGCAAAAAGCTTTTCTCTGCTGGAGCTAGGTGTGAATGTTTCAACTGACCACCTTCATTAGGCCTGGCTGAGCCTGGGGAAATCTTTTGTTGAGAGGTGTTGAGATGTGCCTGGTTGTTTCCTCTCTGCTGTTTTGCTGTTGTAATTTTAGAGTTTTTTTAATACTGGTAGCCAGATTTTGTTCATTTTCATGGTTTCCTCCTTTCTGTTGAAATTGTCCACATGCTTGTGGATTTCAATGGCTTCTCTGTGTAGTCTGACATGGTGGTTGTTGAGTGGTCCAGCATTTCTGTGTTCTCAAATAATATGCTGTGTCCAGGTTGGTTCATCAGGTGCTCTGCTATGGCTGACTTATCTGGTTGAAGTAGTCTGCAGTGCCTTTCATGTTCCTTGATTCGTGTTTGGGCAATGCTGCGTTTGGTGGTCCCTATGTAGACTTGTCCACAGCTGCATGGTACATGGTAGACTCCTGCAGAAGTGAGAGGATCCCTCTTGTCCTTTGCTGAACGTAGCATTTGTTGGATTTTCTTGGTGGGTCTGTAGGTGGTTTGTATGTTGTGTTTGTAATTTCACGAAGTTCTTCTTATTCTCTGATGTAGAGTTTGATGCTGTAGAAGAAGGAAGTGGACCAGAGAATTCTAATTGTTTCACAAATCTACAAATCCCAGCATCACAGAGGATGAAGCTAGGTTAGCTAAAGTGGTACCAAGCTGCTCTAAAAGTGCAACATGGACCTAAAACAAAATAGGAAAGCAAATGTTTAATACTGGCATTTATTTGCTTGTATTATTTCAAAGCAATCAAGGACACAAAAAGTAAAACATACAGGAGCAGCAACTAAAAGATATCAACATTGCATCAGTCATATTCAAAATAAGCTATTCCTTTTTCTATCTTTCTCTGTGGTTTGTCCTTCTTCTAGATTGTAGCCTTTCCAAACCCTCCTTGAAAATTACATCTACAGAGCAGACCTCTTCGGGCTTCAATGTTACCATTGAATGCCAGGGGCCAGAGATGGGTCTGATCTTCTCATTACACAAATCCGAGGACCTAAAAGCAACACAAGAAGAGACAGACAGAAATGCAACTGCTTTCCAAGTTATCATGAAAGAGTTGGAGGATGCAAGGCACTATACCTGTCAGTATTGCCACAAAGGAAATCCCTTTGTGTGGTCAGAACTAAGTGACCCCTTGGAGCAGGATAGGAATGGTGAGGAACTTCTTTGCTTTCCTTCTGTCTTCTCCTTCCCTATGTGTATTCTGAATTAGAGCAGCCCAAGACAAACGTATCTATCAGGGCAGGAACAAGAGAAAGCAGGTGTCTGGATTGGATGAAGTGCAGTTCTAGATTGTCATGCAGCATCCAAGGCTAACCTGCTCCCTGGGCATAAGGAGAAATTATAGAATTGGACAATCCAGTTTCCTGAAAAAGTGGTTGCACTTTATTCCTGATGAAATATGTGGTTGTCACTAATCCCTTTCCCCAAATGCCATTGCGTTCTTCACTTTCCAAATTGAACTAATTTTTCCTATATGGTGGGACACTAGGGGTGTGTCTAACTATAGAATCGATGCAATTTGATACCACTTTAACTGCCATGGACTTGTCATTTTATAGGGTCTTTGGTCTTTTCTTCCAAAGGATGCTGGTGTCAACAGATCCCAGGGTGGCATAGCAATAAACCATGGCAGTTAAAGTAGTGTCAGAGTGCATTCTATAGTGTAGATGCACTCTGGAAAATTTATTTATTTATTATTTGTTGTGTCAGAAGTGATTTGACTCAATTCACTCTGGGAAATAACCAAACAATTATCTTCACTCAGATGGTTGATTCATTCCTGTAATGCCCTAAAGGCAGACTCCACAGAAAAGAGCATGAATAAAGACACTGAAATTATTAATGAGAAATTTAACACAAGTTAAGAGATGCAACAGCAATTTGGTTTTGCCTGAGCATTTTGGGAAAGGTAGATCTAGTATTGTGTGGTGGTTTGACTATGGCCTCTTCCACACAGTTGAATAAAATTCCACATTTTCTGCTTTGAACTGGAATATATGGCAGTGTGGACTCAGATAACCCAGTTCAAAGCAGATATTGTGGGATTTTCTGCCTTGATATTCTGGGTTATATGGCTGTGTGGAAGGGCCCTATGACTCTGGAAACTAGGGTCCAAATCCCCCCTCTGCCACAGAAGCTCAGTGGATGACCCTGTGATAGGCTCGCCCTAGGCTTGCCATAAATATAAATATAACAACAACAACAACAACTTTATTCTTTTACCCCACCACCATCTCCCCAAAGGGACTCGGGGCGGCTTACAAAGGGACAAGCCCAATTATAAATAAAAACAAAACACAGTAAAAGCAATAAAATAAAACATAAAACAGTTACAAACATTATCATAAAACAATCTTATGGCTGAGAAAGTCGATGCTGAGGTTAGGTACAAATAAGTACAAAGTTTCCTGAATGGGACCAATGGAAAGTGCAAGATTCAAATGACTAAGGAATAGAGATATCCTTAGAAAAAGTGTCATAGTGAGCCAATAGGAGGGCCCCAATAAAGTGCAAAACTTAGAAAAGGACCAAGATAGTTCTCCAGTGAGACTGCCTAATCGAAAGCACAATGAAACATCCAGGTTTTTAATTCCCTCCGGAAGATAGACAGAGTAGAAGCCTGTCTGACCTCCCTGGGGAGGGAATTTCAAAGCTGGGGGCTACCACTGAGAAAGCCCTTTCCCTCATCCCTGCCAGCTGTATAGCGGCGGAAATGAGAGAAGAGCCTCCCCAGATGATCTTAGGATATGTTCTTGTTCGTAGGGGAAGATGCGATCATGAAGATAAGCAGGTTGCAAACCGTTTAGGGCTTTGTAGGTGATCCCCTGCACCTTGAATTGGGACCAGAAACTTATTGGAAGCCAGTGGAGCTGTTTAAACAGGGGGGTTGACTGCTCCCTGTAACTAGCTCCTGTTAGCAGCCTGGCCGCCGATCTTTGGACCAACTGTAGTTTCTGGGCCGTCTCCAATTTGTAATATGCCATTACTAATTTGTAATATGCCATTACCAATAACCTAACTCACAATATTCTTTGTTTTACAGACAGTATTACAATTATTGTTTGGGCAAGAATTGCTGCAGGGTACCTCATTTTGGTTTTTCTCTTGCTCTTGATTACCTGCAATCTTATCCGAAAAAGGAAGAAGGGTAAGTGGACCCTGTATGGGTTGCTTAATCAGGAATAAGATTAAAGTAGACATAACTGAAGTAGTATTACATGCAATCTGTGTTTCATAGGGACAATATTAGATTTAGAGCATAGCATTGTACTAGTTGGTCCCTGATCAGAAATTACGCCGTGTGTTGGAAAGTGAAATTAACCAGTTTTCTAGCCCTTATGCTTACAAAGAGAAACTTGAATGAAGGCAGATGGGGAAGGCTTGATAAAAAATCTCAAAAGCTGAGGAAGGTTTCTCCTGATTTGAGGAAAGGGGAAGAAGTTCTCTTTGTAGATGCTTGCTCTGTCCATGTTTTCCAGAAGAATAATTCTGGAAAACAAACCTGCCTAGAACATTTGGATGTTTTTTTCTTTCTTGTTGGGGGTGTAATGCATTCACATATAATTTTCTGTGTGGATTTTCCTGTGGCTGGAAACTTCAGTTTTGACAGGGCTAAAGAATACATTCTAAACTACTCGTTCTCTAAGATTTCTTTTTTGGTCTTACATTCCCAAGCTATTTTAGCCCCTAGAATATTGAATCATAGAGTTGCAAGAGGCCTTGAGGGCCATCCAGTCCAACCTCCTGCCAAGAAACAAGAAAATTGCATTCCAAGCATCCCCGACAGATGGCTGTCCAGCCTCTGTTTAAAAGTCTCCAAGGAAGGAGTTTCCACCACACTCTGGGGCAGGGAGTTCCACTGCTGAACAGCTCTCACAGTTAGGACGTTCTTCCTAATGTTCAGGTGGAATCTCACTTCCTCTACTTTGAAGTAATTTGAAACCCTGATTGAAACTTTTCTTCAGTTGACCAGCTATAAGGTTATTATTATATTTCCTCAAATATTTATTGACTTGTGGCGAGCTTAAGGTGAATCTACCACAGGGTTTCCTTGGCAAAATTTGTTTAGAGGGGATTTTCTTTGTCTTCTTCTGAGGCTGAGAGTATGTGATTTGCCCAGTAGCACATAGTGGATTTCTATATCTTTGTGAAGATTCAAACCCAGATCTCAAGAGTTGTAATCTAGCATTCAGACTACTGTACCACTGTTGCCTTCCCAGCTATTAAAGATGTGTCACTAAAGCTATATCCAGTGGTCCCAGATAACACAGACCATTTTATGCCTGGTGGGAGAGCTCAAAATGTCTTGGGATTTCTGCTGATATTTTCAATAATAATAATAATTATTATTATTATTATTATTATTATTATTATTATTATTATTATTTATATCAGGCTTTATGTCTCCCGAAAGAGACTCAAAGCAGCTTAAAATTAGCATGCAATCTAAAATATGCAAACATCAAAACAGAATTAAATATAAACTGTATTAAAAATTCCCAGTTAAAATCCATTAAAACAAATTCAAAGTTAAAAACCACTTATACAACATATATAAGTCCTTGCTGTTTACATGTCATTAGTTGTAACAGGTTGCATTTTTACCTTTAATTGTTCCCTACCTGTAGGTTTACCACATTGACACTGCAGTGTAGAGACAGGGATTTTGGGGAGTGTGCAGGATATGGCTTGATAGTCTTATTTCATTTCTATATCGAAGAACAAGCCATATCAGTGATACTCTTCTTTCTCCACAAGAACAGAAAGTGTAGTGTGGCATTTGCAATGCCAATAATCTTGTGGCTATTCTACCTTTCCTCAATGTCTTGTATGTTGCATCTATACATGTCTAGTGCAGAATATCTTGCTGTAAAATTATTCCAGTGCAGATAATATGCAAGACCAAAGACAAGAAGCACAAAGCTTCCTACAAACTATATCTATTGTTGTAATTAGGAAGTGTGAAGAATCATGGTGTCATTCTGATTTTCAGAGTCTACTGCAGAAGAAGCAAGGCCATATGTGAACATGGTAAGAGACAGGCATGTAGCCGGGGGGGGGGGCTTGAGGGCTTCAGCCCCCCCCCCCGAAATTCTCATGTGGTCTGCAAAAAGGCCTTAGTGGTACATTATTTAAACTGTTATGCTCATTCAAATCATGATCTGATCACCATGCTCAATATATCCCATATGCATGGGGGTACTGGGGTAACGATACAAAAGGTTTGCTAGGGTAGGCCCTCTTTCACTCAGACTCAGCCCCCCCCCCCAATCAAAATCCTGGCTATGAACCAGGTAAGAGACATTCCGTTGAATACACAAATCTTACCAAGACTGTTAGCCTTCTGGCAAAGTTTAATCCATAAATCTTAATCGTAGAATTTATAAGTGTATCACATTCCAATATATGTGTGTATACATCACACACACACACACATACACAGTCACAGTAGCAACTACAAGCTCAGTTGCTTTAAAGTACTTACTTTTGTCTTTCCCATGAGTGGAGCTGGGCGTAACTAACTTTGTTAGTTATTCAGCAGGTTAAACTGCTGAGCTGATGAACTTGCTGACCGAGTGGGGTGAGCTCCCGCTATTCAGCCCAGCTTCTGCCAACCTAGCAGTTTAAAAGCATGTAAATGTGAGTAGATCAATAGGTACTGCTTCTGTGGGAAGGTAGCAGCGCTCCATGCAGTCATGCTGGCAATATGACCTTGGAGGCATCTATGGACAATGCCAGCTCTTCGGCTTAGAAATGGATATGAGCACTAACTCTCAGAGTCGGACAGAAATAGACTTAATGTAAGGGGGAACCTTTACCTTTTATCTAGAGAGATAGATAGACACACACACACACATCACTGAGATTTGATTCTGATCTCTTTCCTATGCTTGGAATTACTCCTACATCTGAACCTTTTTTTACATTGATAAATCCTAGAACCTTGTTTATTTACTTTCAAATGATATTTAACTTCCCAGGGGAGAGAGCTTTTATGACCCGAGCACATCCTATCTAGGGTATGTTAGTACTGGGCTAAAAGAGGAGCTTCTATATAACTCCTAAGTAACGTGAGTCTGTTCTTTAATCATTTTGTTTCCACTCTAGATTCCAACCTTTACATCATAATGTGACCAAGGAAGCAGATTCCTCTTAGGCTGAATATCATCCTCAAATGACAGAGATCTTGGACATCCTTCATCTTTATATCAAGGAACCTGAAATCATCACAGAAAACAGAACCAGGAAGAGACTCAGCTAAGTTCCTTTGATCCGGGGCAAAGCTGGATGATGCTACACTGGAAAATAGCACCTTAGATGTGTTGGACATAGCAACCTTCTCAAGCCTCCACTAGTTATTTGTTATGTATATAATTCAAATTCCTTACTGTATTATATATGTGTATATTGGTATGAAATTTTACCTTAACTCTTTGTAGTGGGAGGAGCTACAGAACATGTGATCAGAACTGAGCTTGTTCAGGACTCAGACTCCATTTTAGGAACAGTTTGCTATCAAACACCAGCAGCAGTATGCTTAGACACTACATTGGACTTTCAGACTAAACAGAGATTCTTTTAGTATAAAATTTCATGTCAGTAGATCCAGTGGATTGCTGTTGGCTTATGCCACCTAGTGGCATGCAGAGGCACAATGAAAGTGGAAAAACTGGAAATTAAAAAAACACTTTTTTTTTACTTGAGCGGACATCAACTAGGGGTTAACCATGCAGTTGCATTGGAGGTCCTAGAGAATCTTAGGGAGACTATATTAATAAAACTTGTAAATAATCACATCCACAAAGTTAAACTTACAAATGTTCAGTGCCAGTGCATAGCACTGTGAGTTAGTTGGTTTGGTTGGTTGGTTGGTTGCATGCTGCAAATTGCTTCTGGTGTGGACGAATCAGCCATCTACAAAGACCTTACCCAGGGGATGCCCGGATGTGTTACGATCCTGCAGGGAGGTTTCAGGAGTGTTTTTCAGTGCCCAAAAATAAATAATTTCCCATAAAACAACATGTTTTATATCATGCACTCAAGAGACAAAAATGAAGTAGACTTTGGTAAAAAGAACATGTTTACTTCCAACCTTCATGTGTTTGAAGTCGATAGGAACTTTAGAAGGGTCTACCCCAGGAGGAGAGACCTTGCAGCCACACCAAAGAGGGATTGCTACATTGGTGAGCAAGGAGAAGCCTAATTTTAAGCTATTTATTTTCCCTAAGTTCCCAAAAAGAATCTCACCAAAGTTAAAGAAAGTGCCACTGTGATGTTTATTAGCGATTCAGCTGAAAAGGATGCAATGCAGCAATCATTCGCCAAGCTAAGCATGCCATTTTTATAGAAAATACAAAGTTGTGTGGTTCAAACCTCCCACTCCCCGCAGCCTCGCCCGGCTCAATGGTGATTGGCTGGTGCGCAAACAGCTGGGAGGAGGCTTGGCTGTCCCCCACATGCCTGGGCCAATCACAGGGCTTCCGCATTGCACAAGAGCCAATCAGAAGACTCCTGCCGCCTCAGTGCTCCAGCGAATCAGAAGGGAGGTAGGCGGGACGAAGGAAAACAATGCATTCTTGAATGGATTATGGAGTTACAGGAAATGTCCAGGAGGCCTAACGAGTCCGAACCAGCCTTCAAGAAAAGCCAATCTATTGTCTTGTGATGGGTCTGAGATAAGCATTGATCACTTAATCCGGTTTTTCCTCTTGCGGTCGGATAAGGGCACAAAGGGGGGACTTTGGTTAATGTCTTTAATGAAAAAGGCTTGAAAGAAAACTGGTTGGGAGGAAGAGGACTTTCCGAAGGTCACTTTACCTCCCATTGTAATGTGATTAAAAAGTCTGCCAAGTGATTATCTTCTTGATGGCCAGCCTCCGAAGTCAAGAAAATATTCCTTTGTTATTTTTCCATGCAAGAAATGTTCTAAGATAAGGGTTTCCACAGTCGCTAATTGTCTCTTCAGAGGCAGGACAACTTCCTTATACATTTTTCCTCAAGGAGATGGGAAGGGGGCAAAAGGGCCAGGTCAAATACATGAAGGGAAATATAGAAATACAGGAGAAAATATGAAAATATAGAAATCGTAATACAGAGAGTAAACCCAACTACCCTCCCCCAGTGTCCATAGTTCATATTATTCATAGGAAGGTCCATAAAGGGAAATATATCCTTGAGGGGGAAAGAGAGTCCCTTGTTTGTGAGATGGGGGACCATCAGGAGC